CAATGGTTATGTGTTTTTATTTATTCATATATACCTTTGTATCATAAACACTTTTCACATCTGTGTACTTTATACCTCCAATAACACAATATATATCTTGAGTGTTAAAAACATGTCTTCTACTTTTATCATTTCCCCAAACTATAACCTGTCACTTTTACCAAAGTACTTGAAGCTATGCTATACACATTACGGAAGGGCTAAAGCAATCATTGTTCTTATACTGCTATAACACACAAGCTAGCAGTTGGCATATTTAAATAACTAAAATAGATTTTTAAAAAACACACAAGTGCAACAGTAATATATGCCATATACTTTAAGATATGTGCAAGTTGCAAACTAATCTAAATTATCAGAAAAAAACACAAATATATTATTTTAATTATCAACAACCACATGATACTATACTAAAAGACACCCTAATTGGTAAGTTATTAAAAGAACCTTTTTTCCTGGTTTTTAAGATTGTTTCAAATTCTGCTGGAACCCAGAAAAGTAAAGCATATCTATCGCTTGGCTTTTACAAGAAGTGATTTGTGTTACATCTAATTTTATATATATATATAAAAAATCTTTCTCAAAAGCTTGATGTGTAAAGTGTAAAAATTTACATATTAAATTTATGTGTGGATGGGTTTACAGCTAAATTTGTTTTAGAGACATTAAGTGAGTTCATTATTTATAGGCTTCCTGGAGATAATTCTTTTTAAAACACTCCTTTGAAATAAGAGATTTATATGTTTTATAAATCAAAATTTCTATATACTGAATTTTCTTAAAGAAAAGTATGCCCAAAGGAGAAAAATCGCTATTTACTCTTATAAATTATGATCAAAACACTTTTTTTCTTAAACTCCTAACTTTAAAAATAGTTCCATCCCTAAACCAATATTTTTTCATGTCCTTGAAATGCACAGTTTTCAGTAACCTATGTTACTATTTGGGAATTCTTAGTTGGAAGATACCAGGACAATCAACGACTGTTTATCACCCCCAATAAATTCAATACAAATAAAAAAATTAAAAAATAAATGACTGTTCTATCTCCTTAGCTTCATTTTAGCCTTGATGTATTCACACCCTAGAGGTTCCGGATTCTGATCCACAAAGTGATTATGGTCTAGCACAGAATCAGATTTGTAACCAATGTCCACTGGGATCCTTCAACCCCTCATCGCCGGACAGAGCAGATATGTCTTCTGGCTCACTACGCCCATTCACCTCACCTCAGGGACCTTCCACGGTGCTATGTGGTTAGAAGCTTTCCTTCACAAATGATGGAAACGAATGAAAAATAATTTCAGGATAGAAAAAAAAATGGATGCCCAAGTGATTATGTAGCATCTAATGGTCACCCTGCATCCACCACCTCAGTGCCCAAACACACATTCTAACATGCATACACCAAGGGACATTCTTGTGTCAGGTTTTAAGTTTCATTATCTTTAATTTTTATCTGTTTGCTGATATGTACCATTTATATTAATATTTCATATATGTACCATTTATATTAATATATCCAGACACACAATAGCATAAAACTTCTAGCGGTGATCTATAATAGTATAGAACCCATTATGATTTATTTTAAATTTTCTAGAACAAATAAAGCACGAAGCTAATAAAATGACATTGCTAATAAGTATGATTTTAAATAAATGTCACCATATCAAAATGAAACTAGCAGCAGTCATGCCATCATTGATAAATAAAATACAGACTCTTCCTCTTTTTCTTAAAAGGTAATTTAGTATGTCATTTTCTCTCTCTCTCTGTTTTTTTGTTTTTGTTTTTGTTTTTTTTGCTACTGGTCTTTAAAATGCATTTTTCCTCAAAAAAATATAAATAAAAAGCATTCCAAAGAGAGAGAAAAAAAATTGCAAAATACAATATTTTTTAAGCTTGTACCTGTACAAATCTGTCACCATCTATGTTACAATTCTAGTCATCAATAAGGTACTTTTTTCAATGCACCGCTCAAAAATCAATTATATCAACTCTTTTGTATAGAAAAGCAGCACACCTTTCAGGCAACTAGTATTAATGAGTAGACATGACTATAGAATCTCCATCTATTTCTCTGACAAAGCCGTGGCTACTCTAGTCTCTCATTGAAATTCCATTAATCTGGTGTACCAAGGTCCAATGTGAAAATCAAAACTCCATCTAACCCTTTATCAGCTCACAATAACCTACAAGTGAACTCTGCCTGTTAGCATGCAGCAAGTTATGATTTTGCTATCAATCAAGCAGTTGGCCAATAAAAAAAAAAAAAAGGAGGCTGGAAACAACATGTCTGGCCGGGTAGGGAGACTTCGTTTTTGTTTTCTGTGTTCATCCCCTTTCAATTTCTATAGGGTGTCTGGACCTTGTGAGATTATGCATTATCCTCCTTGGCTGTGATTTAATTGCTACCAGCAATCAAGTCGAAGCATCACTGAAGTGTGCTTGAATTTCATTAGAAGATATAACTTATGCTACTTTCCTACAGTACCTAATAAACCATAAAGAAACCAAAACACATATGGCTTGAGGGAATAACTGGAAAATTAGGTAGCCATTTGGGAACTGAGTGAACTTTTGAACCAGAGAAACGGAGAAAAAGAAATATTAAAGGAAAAGACAGACTTAGAATGCACACAGAGATGTGCAGGTTTGACCTTTCGGTGCCTTGAAAATTACATTAGCATTATGAAAAATACATATCATGTTTAGAGTTTATCATCCATCAGAGTTCAGATATTTTGTTAGTGCCTACCATAAGGTAAAAGTCAAAAGGACAAAACAACAATATGATTTGACAAAAGGCCTTTTGGTGACCTGTGCTAATTTAGTTATACTTATTGTTAAATGCATTATCTTTTCATAATTAATATATCATTAGGCTGAGATCACATAATGAAGGAAAATTTATTCAGCAAAGGAAAGAGAACACATACACATCCAAGTAGCAGAGAGAAAAACTGATATGACTAGATGATATTTTAGAATGGAAATAAAAGTTCAAGTGGTAGTTTTAAATTTAATTTATATTAGTCTCAGAAGAAAATGTAAAATATCAAAAGGTATTATTTATATACAAAAAATGAATGATACTAAAAGTTAAATTTTAATTCTGCTTAAGACTAGCTTACATAAACAATAATGAAACTGCACCAATATTTAATAAGAAATTTAGTGTTATAAATGTTATTAAATAATATTCAAATATTGGTTAAGTAACCTTTTAACAAAAAAGTTTTATATTATCAATGTATTTCCTGTTTATTTGGTTATGAAATAAACATAATAATAAAAAGGAAAACACAATAATTACGTAAATGCCCTATAATAAAGAAATTAATAAAAATTTACTTTTTCTAACAAAAGCACTGGTTCTCATAGATATTTATTTGTTGGATTTCTTAGGTTTTTAAGAATATTTTTAAGAATGCATATAAGTTCCCCTTATACATCAAAATATTTATACTGTTTTGAGAAATCCTGAGTGTATATATTCTATGAATATTCCATGTGTGCATGTATATACATATATGTGTACATGTTTATGTGTGTGTATATATATATTCTCATGAGTAAAAATATTCTGCCTTTGTATATGTATCCATACACTCAGACACATCACATACTCATTTCTATCCATATTTTACAGAGAAGCAAAACAAATCATTGTAATGTGCCTGGGAAATAGTTCAACTCAAACAATAATTCATAATTTTGCCTGAAAGTATTATTTTATCAATTATAAAACATTTTCTAGTAGAAATGCCTTTGAAAATCAGGTTAGAAAGGGTGATGTTCTCTTTCGGATAGCAAGTATGACCGAAGAGCAGGGAGCGTCTTTTTAAAAAGCAGATAGAAAATAAAAAGGGGGAGAAATCCCTTTCAAAATAGAAATTAAATGTTTACCAAAATGTAAAATTCAACATAAAATGGATATGATTATTATTGCTACACATTGTACAAAGTTCTGAATATAAAGAAAAGCTTGTGTTGTTCTGAATCAGTGGTTAGAATGTTTATCACTTATGCATGTACTTGACTTATCCCTGTTCTGCAATAGACATAATTTTATACCTCATAAAAGCAATTTATGTTTCCAAAGGGAATAATCTGGATACCATAAAATGTGGAGTGCTCTGTTGCAGGAAGCATATTTTCATTCAGCAATTGTATTTAGAGATGGAACTGCACAGTTTGATCATCATAGAGTGGCAGAAGGCATTACTCATTTCTATGTCTCTGCGAAACTTTGAGTGCCACAAATTAATATGCATGGCTAATTTATCGATACACATTCTTAATTTATAACTACATATCACCCTGGCGAGATCTCTTTAATACAAATGCACTCAACTGGCTATAACAGAGAAAGCACATACTACATGAAAAACAAGTTTCATAACTTTGGCAAGTTTTTAAAAATTACTAAGAGATAAACACTCAATTTTATCGCTAACCCAATTAATACAAAGCACTATAATATTACCGCATACTGTGGGGCAGTTTCAGAAAAAATGAAAATGTGTATTAAAAGAAGCATTTGATGAAAACCTGTCTCAATGTGAGAAGGCAATGCAGGGATAATTAATTTAATATTTTATGAACTAATTATATATGACGTTTTCAGGGGGAAAAAGGAGATCAAAAACCTTTTTCATTATTTATAAAATAAATAATACAACAAGCCATTAGCAGCATACTAAAATTAAGCAAGCATCTTATAATATTAAATTAACCAACTAGCTTACTAATAATATTCATATGATGATGCAAGCACTCTTCTCAAGATTCCAGTAAAGAAAATTTCCTAGGAAATGAAGGAACCACATACTTAGGAAAACCACTAGAGAGAGCTCTCTGTTCCTTAAAAGGTTCCGGGAGAGATAACTGAAGCCTGCGCATCTATCTGCTTTCTGACAAGACCACCATCTCTACACGGTGCATTATTTGGTGCTAGTGTCAAGAGGTATATTCTATGGGAAAATATCACATACCGTCAGAGGGAGCTTCGTCATCTTTCTCGTATCTCTCTGAGGCTAATGAAATAGTGTCTGCAGCCCCAGAGAAAGGATCATCATATTCGTCCCCATCTTCCGCATCACCTGGAAAAGGATCAAGAAAACCCTTTTACAATTTTGCCATTTAAAAACGTTAGTCAGAAGAGGTAACATTTTCCTATTAAATTCAGCCACTGTCATAAAGAAAAAACTAAGAAAACTTTTGAACTGTAAGAACAGGTCCTATTTTAATGTAGATCCACTGTAATTTAGATAAAGTTAAGAGTTTCTGAAGGTCAGCATACGTGTGTTTATTTCCGGTACAAAAGGATTCAAGTTTTAAAATTATGATGGTCTCTGCAAAGATGAATAAAAAAGTAAGAAGCAGGGTAAAACAGAGTGTGTGTCCAAAACAATGCTAACAATGACGACTAAGACAAAACATGGGAAGCACACAGAAAGTATTCAACTTACCATTTACCTATATATATTTTATTAACCAATATCATCCCAAATATTTGAAAAACTTATAATTCAGAGCCATATGAACATTTTTTTTGTTTTCATTAAAAAAAAAAACACACAGGATAATATTAGAATAAATTTTAAAATGGTGAGCTATCACTGAATGAAAATAGAAGTTATCTACCCTGTTTCCCCGAAAATAAGACAGTGTCTTATATTAATTTTTGCTCCCAAAAATGCACTAGGTCTTATTTTCAGGGGATGTCTTATTTTTCCATGAAGAAGAATACGGTACACATTTATTGTTAAGTGAAAATAAAAGAAATTTATTACCTGTGTACGGTACGGTAGTACGGTAGTTGTCAACACAAACCAGACAAACTGTGAATCATACAGTATCAAGAATTTACTAATTTATTCAATGACAATCATGTCATCATCTTCTGGAACATCATCATAACAATCCAATTCCTGAATTTCCTGGTAAATTTCTTGTGACTCCATTTCTTTCAGAATCAGTGGACCAAATCTCTCGTGTTTAACATAGAGGGGCCTTATTTTCAGGGGGGTGCCTTATATTTCACTCAGAAGGAAACCTGTAAATAGGTCTTATTTTCAGAGGATGTCTTATTTTCGGGGAAACAACGGTAGTTTGTAAATAAACTTGTTTAAATTTAAAAGATTTATATGAATTTTAAAGCAGCTTTTCCCATACGGAATTCCTGCTCTTGAAAATGCAACTATTTTTTATCTGCTGTAAAATGTTCTAGCCAGTCTTAATGGTCTAGCCAGTTTTCTACAGGATTTCCAAATCCTAGGTTGGTTGGTTTGCTGGTTGGCTAATTTGAAGCCATTTAATCCCCACAATTAAATCTTGTGGGGATTTTTCCCACATACTCATTAGAATGATTTTTTAAAAAGAGGGTTTCAGATATTTGCTACCCCAGTTATATATAAGCACTCATTTTGTACCCGCATCCAACAAGAAAAATAATTCTTAATATTACGATACCAATACAATACCAATTATGTTACCAATTCTAGTTCTCTGTTAACAATTCAAGAGAAAACCAGCTACATTAGGGGTTAGCCAAAAAGCCTGGTGGAAATCTCTCGGGAAACCCTAAAACACCTACAGAACTCCTTTTAGACCGTGGTTGCTGAAAGATCCAGATTAAAGCTACCAGTCGCTCCAAGGGGTATCTGTATTCTCTGACATCCATTTGTTAGGTAGCAATCTATTTGTCAACATAGTTTTGGTATGGAACATAACCTCTTTCGAGACAAAATCATCAAAGTAACTTAAAAAATCAATATTCATCTCTATTTCCTTATCATGTTGATATTTCATCAGCATTTGTCACCCTAATCCTGAAAGAAAAGACAGGATCTCCCATCAGGACACTAAGAGCAGAATATAGAGAAGACTCCTTCTTGCCTTCAGTGATTCACTAAGTGCACATGCATGGTGATGTCTCCTCCCTAGTTAAAATGGCAAGGAGCACATACAGATACCACTCATTCTTCAAACCGTAACTTCTCTTTCTTATAAAATGTTCCACTGAACATCAGTGATCCCTTACAATATTTCTACTTGTGGAAAGAAAGTGCTCTGATTTAAAACATGAGGTCAGAAAAAAACCCTCATAAAGTGCTAGTAAAAATATGTGTGAACATGGAATGACAGCTTATGGAATATGTGGTAGTAAAGATCACAAAATTCTCAATTGCTCTTAGTTGCTAGAGTACCCTTATATTTTTAATAAAGTGGGGATTTTTATAAGGTGAATTTTCAAAGGATATTTCATATCATTAACTATAAAATAAATCTTGCTGTGGGAAAAATAAAAGTATTAGGATACTTCAAATACATCACCAGAGCTTGCACTCAGCATATTACAAATATAAAAATACAACACTGGAATTAATGAATATGTGGAAAGGATTCTGAAAAATATTTATATGCTTGGGCTCAAGTCTATTAAGCCCTATGTGGAAATAAGCTGAAAAAATAAAACTTTAAAAGTTTTGAAAATCAGGGCATGAGGGAAGGTAAAAGAATATAAGGTGGGGCTAAATGGTGATGGAAGGAGACTTGAGTTGGATGGTGAACACATAATACAACATACAGATGGTGAATTATAGAGTTGTATATGTGAAACCCATTTATTTTACTAACCAATATCATCCCAATAAATTCAATTTAAAAGAAAGAAAATCAGAATTAATTTATCCTTAAGTAACATACTTTATATATTTTGTGTATGTCCATACACATATACATACATACACATATGCACACACATAACATAAAGATCAATATATAGAGCTATAAATTCAATAATGTTAAATATGAGTTATGAATATTCTACACAAAATTGGTCAATGGCAAATTAAAGACCTTTGTGGTTTTTGTTTTATTAAAAAAAACAATTTTGGCCTATATATATTTATGTGTGTGTGTGTGTGTGTGTATGTGTGTGTGTGTGTGAGAGAGAGAGAGAGAGAGAGAGAGAGAGAGAGAGAGAAAGAAATTGTCTTAAACATACCCATTCTGCAGCTCATCTAAAATGTTCCTGTTTTTTTAAATGTGAATTAAATGTTGCTACTGGACTCATTTCCCCCTCCCCTTTTTTTAAGCTTTCCTTGAAGTAGCTCAGAAAGGAAAGAATAAGGATTTTTGTGGGATCTATACAGGGTTATACCCTTTTTAACCTGCATTAAGTTGAAAGGTCACATCATTTTTCAATATAGTCTTCATTTTACTGTTGTTCCAGTGATGATCTATTCCTTTCCCCCCTCCCTAATTATTTTTTCAATCCAATAAAGACCTGTTGCATTATAAGGAGCTTTAATTGAACGCAGGGGTCGCTGTTGAGTAGTGCAATGTGTTTTCCCCCCATGGGCTGAGTATTTGCAGCTATCCCCGTAAAGGAAAATGTTCAACTTGAGTTTGTGTAATAGAAAACTGAACTCCAAAGTAACGAAGGGCATCAGGTAAACGGATCCAATACAATTTACAGACATAATTGAAAGCATTACAGACTAATCAGACATCTAAAAGAAAAGCATCCTCAAATGAAATGTCTCCAGAATCATTAGTTGGCAGCCATGCTATTACAATCACACATAATGTCAGTGCTGCCTTGAGCCTGTGCCAGTGACAACAGCATAAATTTTGCATCTCATTTCAGTGGTCATAAAATTAATGATCAGTTTAAAAATACTTCTTTGTAAAAGTTATTGCACAAAGAAAAGACATGAATGTGTCCCTGTTATGTACTCACAAGGATAATTATGGGGTAGTTGCTCATTAATACTGTTTCTTGTTTCCCTAGAAAAGCATTTGATTTATCCCACAACTTTCAAAAGTTTAATTAATGATACAAAGTTAACAATCTAAAAAATAATGATCCGAGACTTCCCTTCCCATATTCAGTGGCAACTAAAATATCACTGCAAAACTAAGGCTTAATCGTACCATAGCAACATATTTCTCAGAAAAACATTTTAAATTTATAATAGTTGTGTTCAAATCACTATTATGCCTCCTGTTTTATCCAGCTCACCATCAATTAGCATTTCCCTAAAGGCCTAGATATAACACCCAACAGTAGTAACTAATCAGTCATGATCTCTATCACCATTGAGGTTGATTTAACCAATGTACTGCTTATTTTGTCATATACGGTCTTATTTTAAACACAATCAGGTAAACCTTAAACTAAATAATATACCTAAAAATTACAAAGCTTGAAAGATAAATGTGGGGGCAGTGGAGAATTACTTGAGTGAAAACAAATTAATTTCTAATTCTCTACTCAGTTCATTTGTCCAAAGTAATTTCAGAAGTAATAAAATACAGCTAAATAGATGAAACTACACGTTTAACTTGTCATTTCTTAAGGGAATCTATAGTTTAATTCTAAAATCTTGGAAAGATTTAGGTCACCACAAATAAGAAGACTCTCTTCATAACTCTTCTTCCATAGGAGCGCTAATTTATAGTGTGCAAATGGGAGGCAGAGCTTTCAAATAAGAACAGCATTTCTCAAGCACTGTCTCTGCCACATACTCCTCCTTCAGTCCCCAGCCTCAAACATGCTTAACACATTTGTGCAAAGCCAGAGATGCAGGCGTGGGGGAGGGCTACAAGTTATCTGCTCAGATTTCACTGAGGAGCTAACTTTCAACAGAACTTACACCAAGTCAGGGAAGGGACAAGAAAAGAAATTAAAGGTCACCCAAACTTCTGACTTTTCTGCCTTCTTAAGGATCCCATCAGAACAAAGTAAAATGGATCCTTTCTTCCCTACCAATCCTGCTATCTGAAAAAGTAGTCTATTCCATTAATTAACTTACTAATACCAATGAGGCCAATGAAAATGGCTTTCTAAGTAAATCTATACATATTTAACAATATCAATGGACAAAATTAATTTTTTAATCAGCGGGAAATATTTTAAAGGAGAATAGCTATGGCACCTAAAGGAACTGAAAACAATCAATTCGTGTTTTCTAAAGTCACTAAAATAACTTACGAATATGAAAAATCGTCTCTTGAAGTATTTCTCATGTGACTATCATGCCCTTCTTTTAGTAATTTAAAGTTTCCTTGCCAACCGGCGTGGCTCAGTGGATAGAGTGTCAGCCTGTGGACTGAAGGGTCCCAGGTTCGATTCCAGTCAAGGGCACATGCCTGGGATGCAGGCTTGATCCCCAGTGCGAGGCCTGTGGGAGGCAGCCGATCAATGATTCTCTCTCATCATTGGTGTTTCCCTCTCTCCCTTCCCCTTCCTCTCTGAAATCAATAAAAATATATTTTTTAAAAATTTCCTCAAAAACTATTTGAAAACTGAATTATAAATTAAGATTTACTTAAATCCTCTTGATAAATGAAGTTGGATCTGAGAATATAATATTTACTGGACATCTGCTATGTGTCATGCATAGGTATCTTCACATTATCTTAATCATTCTATACAGAAAATAATCACACCTAAGTCATCATGGGAGTAGAACAAGACTAACATGAGGGCAAGACACAACTATAAGTAAAGTTTTTTGTCACCTAATATATATTAGAAAATTATACTTACAACTCAGTCAATAACAGTCTTTATTCAATTATTTCAAGTTATATTTATGAGACCTATGACTTTGTTATGTGACTCGGAACAAATTCTAAAATAATCAGAATTCTAGTCTAAAATAATTCTAAAATGAACATATTCCTAGTACATAAAATCTACATTCAGATATACGTTATACTACTGGGGTATATGGCAACTAAAAACAGGAAACCAGGGCTAGCCCATAATTCTGTAATGTACAATATTTGAAGGACACAAGAAGAACTCTATTCTAGGTAGAAGAGGCAATATTTCAAATGAGTGATAGGGACTAGACCAGTGGTTGGTGGCTCACAAGCCACATGCGGCTCTTTGGCCCCGTGAGTGTGGCTCTTCCACAAAATACCATGGCCTGAGTGACTCTATTTTGAAGAAGTGGCGTTAGAAGAAGTTTAAGCTTAAAAAATGTGGCTCTCCAAAGAAATTTCAATCATTGTACTGTGGTATTTGACTCTGCTGACTAATGAGTTTGCCGACCACTGGACTAGACTAAGCAAGATAGGTCCTCGTTGATTAGATTCAAATCTTTCTCATTTACAAGCAAAATTAAGGAATTTTAAAAACCAACTGATCATTTAAAGTCACAATTTGTCAGACCTCCTCAAGGAGAATCTAGACTTCAGGCTATGAAAAGATAAAAATGAGGACCTTAAGGAAGTAAAGAAATGAAAAGGGAGTGTTAAGACCACAGCTTGCTATGGAAATGGATATAAACAGCAAATAAAAACTTAACTTAATGGACAAGTTTCTTATAATACAAACTATTCTCCTCCAAAAAAAATTGGAATTAAAAACAAATTTTACTCTTAGACTGCGCAGCTTAATGTGTCAATTCAAACGGTTTTAAGAACTGAACTACTGATAACAGTCAAGTCTGTACTGTTCCGTCTCACAAGAGGGGGGTAGCATCTATTAATACACTGGAGGGAGGAGGAGATGTGAAGGGTGGTCAGGAGATGTGAAGGGTGGTTGTGTACCTTGGAGACACTAATAGCTCACTTAGTAGAAATGAATAAACCTGGATGAATTCATGCTACTTCAGAACTCACTACCTGGTCCTTTTTCCTTCCAATAATGATATTAACATGGTATTTAATTGTCATTTGAAAAAATAATAAAGTATGTGAAACAAACAGGAGTCCAAAGGAAACAAGGAGGAAAACAGCCCCTGTTCACTTCATCGTGACCCCATAGTGACCTGAGAGAAGAGAGGGAGGGAAAGAGAAAGAACAGGAAAACATGAAAGGAATCTGCCCAGCTCACCTTGGATGAAGAAGACCATCCAAAACCCCAAGGGGCATATGGAAGAGAAAAAAGAAAAGTAGCCCTTTCATAACATGCATGGGTGCATGAATGTGCTCCGGTAGAATCTGATCATTAATAAATCCCTATTTTTATTTAAAACGTATTGTGAATAACTACTTTGCAACTATTCAATGTGCACTTCAGTGTACCATTCCTAACAAACTACAGGAGTGGTCCTGTTAGAACAAAGCTGGATGTACTTTGGGGTAAGATGGCATAGAATTGCTCAGCTTCTCATATTTCTCCAAGGTATACATCTCATTTATCCACAGGCTCACTTCTGAACAGGCACTCCGGGTGATTAGTTAACTCAGTACAGCAGTATTGAACTACAAATGACTTATTCAGAGGGAAATGATTATGGGGAATCTCTGAATTCTATGTTATTTGAACTCTTATTCTAGGCTCATTTTTTAGTTTCTATCAAATACTATATAAACCTCCTTTTCTCTTTAGAGACCAAGAACGTTTCTTAGTAATGCAATTTTAATATCCACACACCTGAACAAGTCCTAAACCAGAATACCGAAGGGAAAGTTCCTACCCTATTACTGAATCAGATGCAACCAATGACTTCACATTATCATGCTTTCTTAGCTGCAAATTTTCTTAATGTGTAAGTCACCATGAGAGAGTGACAAATAATCCCTAGTACAAAATGTGCTTTTAAGAAGAAAGGCAAAAATCTAATATTCCTCCTATAATCAGTACAATGTATAAACGTTATCACAATTACAACGTATAAATTTATTATTTCTACATCCGACTAAGCAAAATGAAGCCTAATTAGACCCATAGTTTAGGGTTTGTTGTAGACTATCAAAAAGTGGGTATTTGTGGGAAGGAGTGTCCCTGCTCTCTAAGTGTTAAAAAATTAAAATGGAGGGGAAAATCTCATTCCCTCCAATCACAACAACCTTAATGATTTAACGTGAAAAGTACTGTGGTTTCCTTTTAACTGTTTGATTTTGGGCTTGTCTGGCTAAGTACTTGGTTTATTGAAACTGTCACTACTCTCTCACTTATCAGTTGGCAGAGATATGAATTGCTCTGTGGTATCTGCTAGCCCCAGTTAGAAGATGTCATACTGTTTTCGCCCAAACACAGATCCTAGCTCTGCGTAGGTTAGCTGACCTCGTGTTGTGACCCTCATACCAGCGTTCACAGGACTCAGGTCATGACCTATGAATTAGCATCATGCTAGTATGGGCCTTACAGAATTAAAGATGTGAAAAAGCAGGCACTTCCTACGCCTCTCCTGGCTTGGTTTGCAGTGTGCTAAGGAGCTGTTTCTCAAATCTAAAGGAAGACCATCAGGTTACCAGCACGCTCACGTATTTAAAAAAAAAAAAAAAAAAAAAAAAAAAAAAAAAAAAAAAAAGAAAGAAAGAAAGAAAGAAAGAAATTGAATTTCCTTCTTTGAAAATTTCTATGGCATATCAAAAGGACAGTAAAAACCAGCATTTAAAAAATATTTTACTTATGTTCTTGACAAACATTAATCCTGTTTTTAAAACAATTGTCCTTAAAACATTATAAGTACCCAGCCCTGAGCCCCCTGCTGCCATCACTACTATGAAATCATCTCTGCAGCGTTAAATGGCATTGGGTTGGAATCTCACCTCTGCTTCGCCAAATTATTCTATGAATAACTGCAAAGACAGACCTTTCTTAACCAATTTCTGTCACAATGGACTCTCAGACACATAAAAGCTAAGAATGGGAACTAACGGCAATTTCTTCATCAGAAGATTCGTGCGGAGTAGATGCTGGATATGCTTTGTAAATTTTTTTCTCAGCAGGGGGAGCTAGCACCCTCATCTTGAAAGTCTAAGTATCCAGGCGGATATTTAAATTTTGATTCCAACGATCACATTTCAGCATGCGTCAGATCAGCCACAAAGAAAAATAATTTCAAGTTTGACAAACTTGAAAATTTACCTTTGTCTTTAAATTCCTGAAGATAGCTGCAAAATAAAACAAAAGCATTATATTTTAAAATGAGGACTGACAAATCAAAACAAGATCTAATAAGTGACAGTAATTCAAAGCTATTTTAAAATGTATATTATAAACATATATTTGGAGAGAAAAAACTACCTCTTATCCTGAAATGACAATCCCAAAAGATGTATGGATGTATAATAAAAGGATTTTTAAAAACCTAAGTTACAGTAGTAAAATCAGAACATATCTTTAATATCTACAATTTAAATTAATTCATTTCAATATTGGTGGTTATTTTCCGTATTTATGTTAAAATTCTCAACCTAACTGTCTTATCATTTAAAACAAATATATTCTCACCTAAACAAAATAAACAGTTGAATTTTGCTAGAATGCTTACAAAAATACATATTCACAAACCTTCACAAAAAAGGTGTTATGATAAGCAAATCTGTTTTTAAAAGCTATTATAGTGAAAATATATATTGTCCTCTATAAATACTTAACAGCAACTAAGTAACATTACAATTTTAATTCAATGACAATCAATTCTTTATTAAAACATTAATTACAAAGTTGCTTCTAAGTAAAAAAAATTAATAATAAAAGGCAAGCAAGTGACTTACATAGACTTTACATCTTTTATCTTCTTAATAAGAGATTCTCTCTTTTCCTTTGCTTTCTTGGATAAATTTTCCCCTTTCAGAACGTCTGCTACAAATGCTTCAACATCTGAACCATAAAACATAAGAAACAGGATACAAATTGTAAGAAAGAATAATTTTTTTGTGAAGACAAATAGGACAATGATTGTTTCTATCCATGAGTGTTAATATCTGTACAATCTGTTATAGTTATTTATCAGTCCAAAGCATAACAGTTGAAGTATGTTTCAAATAGTAAGTTGGACAAATTTGTTCACCAGTTAGCTAATAAAATCTGTATGCTCTACTTATGCTTAGCACAGCAAATGCTATTTGGATGTTTGGCATCATTAAACCAGGAAGAAGCATACAAGTTTTAATAAAGTATGGTGCCCCATAAAACAAATTCCTACAGAAACAGGCACGGAGCTTTCATCCATGTGTTACTGCCATTTAATAGTATTTTGTGAGTTCCTGTGTGACTAGGTCATTCAGAATATTACGCCAGTGTAAGCTGATGTCTCTGGGAAGGCCTGTTTTTCCCATTGTCATCTCTTTTCAGGTGTTCAATGCTTTAAAAGGAAAAAATAAATCTCCTTTTCTAGCCAAGATCCCCCAAATCAAGCCTTCTCCTTCCTACCTGCCCCACCCACCCTGGCCAGCCACTCTCAAATAAAAAAGATAATCAATTGTGTGGTTTTGTGTGTTCTCGCCTTGGTATGACTCCCTGAAACATTTCTTTAAATAAAGTAGCAACAATGCATTTATCCACTGTTTAAAAATATAATAACCTGGAGATAAAATTTCTATAAACTCATATAACATTTCCATATATCCTCTTTTTAAAAAATTAATAAACTTCTAAATTATTCTGCTATCTCAGTCTCTCTAGTATAAAATTCCAACAAATCCTTGCTGGTATGATTTTATAATAGCTCCCCTCTTATTGTTCATGAAATACCGTACAACTTTCAATTAACTTCATATACAGAATTTTAAATCCCATTTTGAGATCTCTAATACAGAGAATACCATAAAAATTTTTCAAGTAGATACGACTGCAAACCATCCATATTTCATAGCGAAGAAAAGTACTATGTATGTTTTACTTTCTCTTTACTTAACTACTTTGTCTCCTCACTCACACTGATAAAAAGGCAGCATCAAGACATACAATAATGTTACATGTGTTACTTCAAAGCAGTCCAAGAGTCTTTCAACTGTACTTACAACGAACAACTTAAAACCTAGTGTTTGAGATAGGATGTGATCGATTTTAAATTCTTGATTGCAAAAGTATCTTGAGACCATGAGCAGAGCTGAGAAGCTGTTGTTCTCTATATTCGCAATAAATGTGTGACTAATTTTTCCCTAGATCAACATGATAAGTGTAAGAATGAGAATGTAATCTTGATATACTTTTTTAAAAGCCGCTTTCTGATATTAATGTTAAAAGTGAGTCTCCAAACAAACTGAAAGTGGCAAAGTGTGCCAGCTTCACGCTGTGTGCGCTGCCCATGTGTGTGAAGAGGACACAGGCATTCCCGGTCCCAGTGCAAATGGGACCCAGGCTTCTCCCTGAGTTCAACGGAATACAACATGTTTGCAAAAGTGCTCTCCTCTGTCTCTTTACATTGTGCGCCCACAGGAGCACACGGGCTGGGGGCAGCCAGTGCCCGCTGCAATGGGAGCTCATTAAGCCTCTGGGAAAGCGGATGGGAAGGAGCAGCATCTCCACTGCCTCTTCCTTCCAACCCGGCTCGGCCCCGCGAGGACGCGGCACGAGGGTACTCCCCCTCCTCCGAGCTAGCCTTTAATCCCCTCACCCCCCGAATATTTAATTGCCTATTTTACATTTCCATTATACAGCCCAAGTTTAAACAAACGGGACCTATTTTCTATCTCCGGAAGCAATAACAGAACGAATTGCATGCAGCCCAAGAATTTTTTTCTGTAAAAGGTCATTTCAGTTCCAGAAAAAAAACAGAAAACATCAAAGCTGCGATGCTCTCCAGTGTTTCCCAATGCTCTGCAAACATGCTGTGAAATCCCTCTGGTGCTGTAGGGGGAAGTGCTGGGAGGGAGGCTGGGACCCAGCTCTGCCGCTGCTGCTGTCTGTCTGTCTGTCTGTCTGTTTGTTTGTTTGTTTTCCGGCTGCAGGTAGGGGGAGGAGGGTTCAGGGATTGGGCAAGGGGGAAAGATCTATATTTTTAGAGTATTCTCCATGCATTTATTCCTAAACTTATTCCAGGAAAGGGGTTTATGGCAACTAAAGTGATTTAATAAACATTAATTAAAAAAATACTTAACGGAGACCAGGAAGATGTAGAAACTGCTTTGCTATTTTGTTGTTTTTTCCTTTTTTTTTTTTTTTCAAATAAGAGCTTTAAAGTGGGAACCATGACTGCAATAATCCTAGTTTGTTGGTGCCCTCTGACTCAGGCAGGTTTTGAAGTTTTGGCACTGTGGGTGTATGTGTTTTCTGAAAACCCACATGTGCCCACTGATTTCCGAATCCAACAAAACCAGCACAGGGCCTCCGGGCCGGCGGGGAGCTCCCGGGCTGCCCGGGAGACGCTGGGCGCTGGGGTGTTACAGCCCGGGGTCCCGCCGGAAGCTGGGAGAAGGGTTTGGGGGCAGCACCTTCGCCAGAATAACGGGCCTGGCTCTGCCCGGCTCCCCGGCTCGGAGCCGGGTAAGATTTCAAACGCGGGCAGTAAAGCGCCGGGAACAGCCGCCGCTGGGAGATCTGAGGCTTTTATTGTGCTCCGAGCAGCCCCGCGGGCCGGGCCGGGAGCCCCTCCACCTTCCCGCAAGGGGTCGTGTCCCCGGTTAACGGGCGGCTGCAGACGCCGGGCCGCCTGGAGGTCGGGAAGAGCCATAATTCGATTGCGAGAAAGGTCAGCCCGCCCCCCCGCTTGCCTGCGGGCCTGGTGAGGCAGTGCCTCCTCCCGGGAAGGAGGGCCTGGCCCCCGAGAGGGGGAACTGGGTCCTCAGAGGCCCCCAAAGCGCCAGGTCTCACCCGCCCCCTGCAGATCCGCGCCCGGGCCCCCAGAATTAGCCCGTCCCCATCAGTCTTTGCCCCCAAGGCATCACGGAGGAACGTTATCCCAGGGGCTGGGCTGAAAATGAGCTGCTTTTCGCTCCCGTTACTCCTCTGAGGAAAGACTGTAAAGTCCTGGGGAGGGAGGGCCTCCGTAAGCTCAGGTTTACAACAGCTCTGCAGGTAAGTGTTAAGTCTGAAAACAAAATTAAAAGATGACATCATGCATTGGCTCAGCGATCTTGCAGCAGTTTAACTTGAGAAACCTTTCAACAAGCCATCACCACCCCTAGGAGGCCAGCCTTGAGCACACACCCTATCACCGAATGGCACGCCAACTGTCCTCTTGGCTTTTTCTGGACATATGTACCCTCCCCTTAGAAAAACTGCCACCTGAGTGCTAGGACAGGTATCTGACACACACATAAAGGCTAACTGCTTTCTACCAACTTCTCTACATAATGGAAAGGTGAAACCACATGAGGTTAGGACAGTCTTTTAAGCTCTTGCAAACAATAAATTAAACTCTGGCTTCTTGACGCTGAGCACACAGCACAGGTTCCCACTCGGGAAGAAAGCGGATGTCTGACCACTCGCCCTCCCATCCTCCACCAGCAAGCAGCCCGGAGTATGACTCCAGGCTGGAGGCTGTAAACAAGTCACAAAGGTAACACCCGGTGGCTTCAGCTGTCCCCCCACCACCCAACGCCTCCCTGATGGACACACACACACACACACACACACACACAGCCTCTGTGATGGTCTCAATGGTACAGAAGAGGGAGGCAGGAACTGAGTCAACTACCATTTGCTCAGCGCCCGATCAATAAGTGTAAAACCAACCACACTAACCCCCAAATGGCTTTACTGCTTAATTCCACATCTTCCTCTGCTTTCTGAGCAGGACCAGGTTTCCGTTTGTATTCACTGAGGTGTCATCACCAAACTGAACGTGGGAAGGATCCCAGCCAAACTTTAAGCTGGCATTGGAACAAAAAGACAAGCTCTGCTTCTTTGCTAAAAGGGAGGTATGGCTGACCACACACAGCTAAGGGTGAAAACATAAAAATTAAGCTGGGCACACGTACATCATGGAGCCAAATGCTCACAGCTGGAAAACGGTTCATTGAGAAGTCATCGATTGCCTTAATCAATGTCTTCCACTTGATTGCCTCGCACGTTTACAGGTGATGGTTGGACTGGGGACTGTTCTAACATGGAAGAAGAGGCATGAACAAGCACAGGAGTTCTTACAGAAGACACACCTGAGACTTACATCCTATCATCTGATAAAATTTTCAAAATTGGCTTTGAAAGCTCAATAATTTATTTTGATAGAAAAGTAGGCTGGTGAAGGACAGAGATGAACATCTTTCACCTCTAAAAGATGACTCTTGATAAATAGCACCTTGTGATAATCAAAATCTTTTTACCACGCATTTTCAAAGAAGCCACGGTGAATAACACATGAGTCTGAGATTTACACTACATTCCCTGGTAGGCAGCATCTATTACCGTGTGTTCAGTATGTGATTGAAAAAGAAATGTAAACTCAGTGGAATGAAAAAAATAGACTTGGCTTTAATTGAAAAAGACAAACTAAGTGAATAATGAGTATATAAAAACTAGCCTATGCCACTTTTATCACCCATATATGACACTTAATCTTAAATTTATGAGAGACAACTGAACTGTTTCAAATTACTAGAAGCTTTTCTACTCTGTTGTTTTTCTGTCTTCTTTCTGGTAAGACGTTAGTGCTCATAATGTAGAGATAAACTCATTTGGAAAATTTTTATAGACTGCTCATTTTTTAGTATATTTAGAACCCCTACTTTTTAAACAGAAAACCAGTGATCGTTTGGATTGAGTAACTATAAAAACTGTTCGTACCATCAAGAGCCTTACTTAATCATCTGAAAATAGAATACTCCCAAAGGAGAGCTTTGTGGAAAACAAGCCAGCCCCAAAGATCCCCTCCAAGGAAAAAGGGGGACATCATATGCTTAAGATAGGTAAATAATTCTCCCAATATCACATCTTAATTCATCTGTTTATCTGACTCATATAAGAAACTGCGAAATTCTGGCTCCTTGGCTTACAAACACATTTTCTTATTTCTGGAAAAGACTATCTTAGAGTTGTCGTAGACTGATTTCATTTTGAGATAAAATGTTCTCATGTCATGCTCATTAGTTATCACTGCCAAAAGGGCTTGTTCTTGCTCTGAAAATCCAGGTGCTAAAGAAATAGGTGACTGTTGGTGACTCAGTAGGTGGCACTCTTCCCTTTACATACTCAGCCAATGCCCCGGAAGAAAGTTATGGGACACTAGATATACCATAAATAATTCTCACAGGAAAAATAAAACCAAAATGTTGACCAAATTATAAATGGAACTTTGGAAAGGTGGAAATCAAACCATATTTTACTAGCAGTTAAAAAATAAATAAAAAAAAGAAAATCTGCCTCTATTTCAGTTGAATTGCATTCTTTATCTAATGCCCCCAAAGGGATTATTGATTATAATTTGTAAAAATTAAAAAATAAAAATGAAAAGTGTCCTGGAGATGGGGAAAATGCAATATTTCAATGCCAGACTGCCAGATGAACAAAATCTCAAGGTCACTTTACAGGAACCACATAGCCACTTTGTTTATTGATTGTTTGACATGGTTTTGATTTTTCAGAGCATTTGATATCTATTATATTCTTTTTTTAAATATTGGTTTCACTTTTTAACTTAATAAAGTCACTAACATCTTCTTACAGTTTTCCTTTTTAAATGTGTTGTCCTAAAGAAATGAATGAGAATATCCGACTGCAAAATACTAACTAACACTCCAGTATTCAAAGGGCGAGTAAACATATGGAGGTTGGGGGGCCAGTGATTCCAGTTCCTCTCACTCTCTTGGCTGCCTGGAGGAAAAACTCACATAAATCAAGATTATTCTTGCTGTTAGTCCTAGTCAAAATATTTGGATGTAGAAGAAGATTAAATGGACAAGATTTGGGGTTATCCTTTGATTCTAATTATCCAGGCTAAACCTGTTCCTCCATTGTTGTGAAAAAAAATTACACACAATGCAATATACAGATCATGTGTCATAGAAGCGCGCACTTAAAACCTATAAAATGTTACTAGCGAATGTCATCCCAATAAACTTAATTTTTTTTAAATTAATGCAATTTTTAAAAGAAAAATATTATTGATTGCCTGTATATGGCAGTTCAAATTTTGCTTTTAACAACAGAAATCTGTACGCATTTTTCCATTCAGGAAACGAAGAAAAGCTCAAATACTTTTATAAAAAGTATAGGTTTTTGAGATTTAAATACTGATTCCATAGAAATATAAATAAGTAACCAATTGTACAGGCACTTTTTTCAAGAGTACCATTAAATGCCAGTTAAGAATGGTATCCTCTTTGGGTTTTGCATTTCTATAGAACGTGTGGCTGTTTTAAGTGGGAAGGAATGAGAAGGGGGTTAGGAGGAGCCTAAAGTTTTATGATCAGAAAGAAAGTAATAAATGGGTAAGACTACATTTGAGCACCTACCCCTATCAAGCAGTTGAAATGTAAAATATTTAAAACACATGACACATAATGGCTTGAATAAGACACATAGAAAACAAAGGAAAATGTCCATTCTTATCTTGAAAGCATTATCTTTTGACTTTATATTCTTGTTTTCTGAGGGCTAGGGATTTAAAGCGCCTGAAAAGTTTAGGTGCTGTCTTCTCTATCTTGGAATTCTGGCACAATGCCATGCATCCCAGGAGCCCTCAACTGTTAACCACACCCTCCAATATCTCTGTTCTTAGTTTCAAAGAAAGAACTAGGTAAGCCAGTAATATCTATAAATTTCAAACCAATACCAATTCTTCTATAGTTTTAGTAATTTTTATATTTCACAATATACTATTACCCAATACTGGTCATCATGCACAATTCCAAAAGATTTGTTTTGGATGGAAAATGTGGGGGGGTGGAGGGGAAACCTAAGAGCATTTATTCTTGAAAACTTCCTTACCTCAAAAAAGATGGTAACTACAGTCAAATATAAAATGTTAGCTTTCTTTGAATAAGTTAAAAAAAAAAAAGAAAACTAAAAAGCTCTGGTTCACTTATTTCTTTAAGATATATTATTTTCTCAGAGCCATACACTTTGAAAATACCTTCTGAAAATAAAGTGTAAGGCAAACTTATAATCTCCAAGATTGTAATGTTTTAACATTTCATGTGTTTTAATATGTAGTTTGCTTCAATGACATGAAATATTGTAAAGATCCATAAGATAACTTTCTAAATGCTGATTTCACACATGATGCAAGTATATTAGCTGTCTAAAGAAAGAGATGGCTAACGTATACAGAAAGTGAGCATTGGTAGACAATTTAAATATTATGTAATTCTAAGCTTTCAGCTAAGTAACTCAAATAAGGGCCATATGAAACACTTGTAATATATGGGCATCAGAGAATATAGGGTCTCATAAAATACATATCATGCTATCTGCAAATGTATGCTCATAGATCATAGAGCAAACTGTCTACTGGGGGGAGGGGGAATGTCAAGCTTTAAAAGCAGGCACCCAAAGATCTGTACTTTATTTCTTAAGTTCAAAAATTCATACCTTCATAAAAGGGGGGGGGGGGGGAGGAGATTCAGTTCTAGTCCTGGAACATCCTGAAAATGGTAACATCTAGTTTGGGAGTCATGACAAATGCTACTCTGATCTGATTATTAAAATAATACTCTAAACAATAATGCGCTAAGCAATTCCAACATCGTAATAACAAAAAGCGTTACCTGTAGTAAAACAAAATAGTACTCATGTGAAACTCCACTGTAATGGAATAAAAGATGTCTTTTCAGTTCTTTCAATATTCCCCTCAGTGGTACCCGTTACTGACAACAAGCATTTCTTGGAGTAAAAGACCATCCCACCACAAATGCACTCAGCACACTGTGATCATGGTCACACAAACTAAGTCTGCATCCATGCACTATCGATTTTCTTCTCTCTGTCAGATTCATGATGCTAACCTCTGAAACAGTATAGCAGAGTATCAGATTTGGTCTCACACTATCACTGTAACTTACTACTTAAAATGTCACGTTTTAGATATTGCTTTTTACAAGTTAAAATAACCAACCTGTAAGATAGGCATCTAAAAGAAACTCTTTTAATACAGGATATTCATGACCAATGTTGAAAGATAAATACTTAAGCGACAACTAAAGTAAAACTATCAAAACTCAGTTTCCAGAATTGTGATGCAGGAATGACAAAGTGAGTAATGGTAAGAATTCCAGAGCATCGAGATAGAGTGAGCTTTGTGTTACCCTAATAATACATTTTCTACCTTATGAAGAAATGTAAATTTCTCATTGGCCCTTAGCTACCACACACATCTACAGACCTAGCATACAGCCTGGAAGAACTGCATCTCTAACTTCCTAAAGTAAGTTCCTATAAATGGCAAAACCGAAAAAGGGAAGATGAGGGTGCAAAGATGAAGCACTCTCATCGTGACACAGGAAGCTGGACTCGGACACATCCTTCCCTTTTAACAGGTTGCTCAAGCTGGAGACAAGTGGCCATTTGAGAACCAGGTCCTTTCTGAGTCTTCCACACGAGTGGACTGAACGTTCAAGAAAAAAAAAATGGGACTTTTAGAAATGACAAACCCTTTCATCGCAAAGCCCCTGACATCTGTGGCTCAGACACATCTCTCTACACCCTTCTCCTCCTCCACTGACCAGTAACTGCTCTCATTACTGATCCCTTCCCCGTTCTCTCTCTCTCTCTCTCTCTCTCTCTCTCTCTCTCTCTCTCTCTCTCTCTCTCTCTCTCTCTCTCACACACACACACACACACACACACACACACACACACACACACACACACACGATGCGTACACAAGGGTATGTCATCCATAAGGGCTTCCCCATCACCCTGGCGCCCACACGCTCGCCCCCTCACACCCAGTCCCCGGGCAGGGGACGGGGCGGCGGGGAGGCGGGGACCGGAGTGAAAGCTTCTGTCCCCAGCGGCTCGCCGTCCCGGGCCCCCGCCCCGCAGCGCCGCCCGCCCCCTTCCCGCGCGTTACCTGCCAACAGGTTCCTAACGTCCTCGGGGAGGGGCCCGGGGGAGGAGGTGCTGCCGGGGGTGGGCATGGCGGGGCGTGCGGGGACGGATCTGCTTGGGGGGCGGCTGCGATCTAGCCCCAGGCCAGCCGTCCGGGGAGCGCCGCGGGGCTAGGACTCCGGACACGCCGGGCCGGGGATCCCAACAAGGAAGTCCCCGGAGCCGGCCGCCGCGCCGGACTCTCGGCCCTGCCCCGCCCGCGGCCCAGGGCGGGGCGAGGGGCGGGCCGGAGAGCCGGGCCTGGAGTGCCCCACCGCGCATGCGCGTCCCTGGGGTTCCCTGGCCGCCGCACGCCGCCTTCCGGCGGGCACGCCCCCTCTGCGTCAGCGAGCGGGGGGCGGGGCCGCTCGCTGGGAAGGGAGCCGGGGGCTGCGTCACCTGACCCGCGCCTGACGCACAGGCCGCCATGTTTGTTACTGGCGCCGCCAGACCCGCTGACCATTCCCTTGGCATCTCGAAAAGCAACCGAGTCCACGGTGCATCCAAGGTTCCCAATCGGGAGACCCGGCCGACGACCCGCACCGCCGAGGTTTGACACCTCGCCTGGTAACCCTTAAGGAAGTTTCCACCGTCCCCGAGCCAGGATGGCCTTCTTTGTCCGATGGCGTGAAGGCAACCATGTCCCCTCTTCCGCCAGTCTTCTCTGAGAGGCCAGTCCCGGAGAGCGATCTGATTGGCTCTTCCCTTATTTTCTGCCTAATTCGGATTCTTGCGGGTGGTTGGTTTGGCCCAGAAGAACCAAGAGTGGGGAGTTCTAGTCACTATTATTTTGACTTCATATATAAATGATAGGTAGATAGGTAGGTGGATGGATACCACTGTCCATAAGCATCCAATTGCTAGAAGAAAAATTGTAATCATCTGAACAATTAAGATTTATTAAATTAAAAATAAATAAGTAAATACATCCAATTGCTAGTGATTAGAAGAGTAGAATTATAAAATATGTTCACTCCAACCTGATCCTTTAGTCAACAAACACTTCCTGCCATGGAGAAACTTTTTCCTAGATGTTACTGTTGTATTTTGAAGATAGTATTGGGCACGATGTAAATTGTTTATTCCTTTACACTCCTGACTAGATCATTGGCCCTTTAGTTTGCGTTAGAACCACAGAAAGAACCTGTTGCAATGGAGCTTCTGAAGTCCCACTCTCAGGGATTCTGATTCAGACAATTTAGAGTAGGGCCTGATTAGTTGCATTTTTAAACAAGCCTTCTAGGGATTCTAATGCTAACTGTCCTGAGATTTGATTTTGAGAATCATAGGGCACAAAGTTTGTCATAACTTTCATCTGTAAACCTGACATAGAATAATAACTCTATTAATATTTCATACCAAAAAAGTCTCAGTAACATTAAGAAAAAATTAGTCAAATGATTTAGTGGGAAATTAATGCTTTGCATTTTTGTATACTGTAAATATAAATGATGATTTGTTTGAAATGTGTAACTTTGATATGCAAAAGATAATAACTCACAATGTTAATATTAAATATTCCTTCAAAATAAAAAAAAAATAAAAAACAATCCAATTCCTGAAAAAAAAAGAAAAGAAAAAATTAGTCAAATGCAATAACATTTTTGTAAATAATTCTCTAAAAGGTACACCACACACTAATTGTAAAAGGAAAAATTAGAACATTTTGGAGTCTTCTCAAAATAAAACAAAACCAAAAATTGAAGTAAAACATACAAGATAACAACAAAAAGACACCTCTGAAACAAACCCATCTCCTAAATTGAAAACTGAAATTCCTACTCAGATTTAGACATGTGATGAATTATGGAAAGAGTAATGAAAATTCTAATTCTTTTCAGTAGAGGTAAAGGTGAGTATAGAATCATTTTATAACTTTGGCCCTCCAACTTCAAAGAATTATTATTCTTAAACTACAAAATTATCTTTCTTTCTAAAGAAAGAAGAAACTATTTCATGGGCATTTTGTATTAGTGAGGATTCTTTCTTCCTTTACAGTTATTAGATATAATTCTTTGTCTTGTCACTTTTTTAACATTAAACTAGGCCTCCAACTGTTCCTACCTTTTGTTTTCTTCTGATAGACTTGGCCAGATTTTTTTTTATTCTCTTGTCTCATTTATTTATTTATACTCAACTCATTCCACAAAGAATTGAGGTGATTTACTCTTGTATCAAATAGACAGCTTTCAGGAGTGTATCAAATGGACAGTGTCTACACTGCTCATTATGACAAGTCATTCTTGTTACTGAGAGACAGGAAACTATTAAGATGGCCTTAAAATATATAGCATCTAGTAGTTCAAATGAAAAAGGCAATAACAGAAAATGGACTTTTTGTATGAAACACATTTCCCCTGTTTAGGAAACCATTTTCAGACACAGCTTCATGATGGATTCACTTGGGCAAGGCTTTGTATACTCTATCATTTTTATTGTTTATTGTTAAAGTTACTGAAATTGATTATAAGACAGAAAGAGAAATAAACAGAGGCTAGGAAAAATATATTCTTATTTCTCTTGTTTCCATAACAAAATCTAGGAAGGAAATCAAGTCATACTTTATATTTCTTAAACTAGTCATATTAGATAAAAATGAATAATAGATGAAACTTTAAATCTCAACTCAAGAGAAGTAGCAGCTGCCCCACAGCATTCTGCAAAGAAGATTCTAGACTCTGGGGGGAAAAAATCTCATGATCTATCTTCTCAAAAGTAAATAAATCCTCCAGTTCAAAGAGTGTGTGTGTGTGTGTGTGTGTGTGTGTGTGTGTGTGTGCGCGCGCGCGCGCGATGAGCCACTTAAGAATAGGGATACATTCTGAGAAGTGTGTTGTTAGGCAATTTCATGTGTGAACATAATAGACTGCACTTACACAACCTAGATATTATAGCTAACTACACCCTTAGGATATATAGTATTCTCCTGTGTATATAGTCCATTGTTGACAAAAATCCTTATATAGCACATGACTGTATATCTCTGTATAACAAAAGCTAACCCCCTTCCTTACACTTTTTTTAAATATATTTTTTATTGATTTCTGAAAGGAAGGGAAAGGGAGAAAGAGAAATAGAAACACCAATGAAGAAGATGGCCAGCAGGGGAGGGTAGTTGGGAGGGACCAGGCCTGCAAGGGAGGAAAATTGGGGGCTATCAGGCCTGCAGGGGAGGGCAGTTAGGGGTGACCAGGCTGGCAGAGGAGGGAAGTTGGGGGCGACTGGACCTGCAGGGAAGGGCAGTTGGGGGGAGGGGCGACCAGGCCTGCAGGGGAGGGCAGTTAGGGGTGACCAAGCCTGGAGAGGAGGGAAGTTAGGGGTGACCAGACCAGCAAGGGAAGGCAGTTGAGAGGGACCAGGCCTGCAAAGGAGGGCAGTTGGTAGCAATCAAGCCCTGCAGGGGAGGGCAGTTGCGGGGGACCCAGGCCTGCAGGAGAGAGCAGTTGGGATCCCACTTGGATCAGGCCTAAACGGGCAGTCAGACATCCCTGGAGGGGTCCCAGATTGGAGAGGGTGCAGGCTGGGCTGAGGGACACACCCCCTCATGCATGAATTTTGTGCATCAGGCCTCTAGTTTATATATAAGAATAATAAGCAGTTTAATACAGACTGAATTTGAGTTCTTAAAATTCTGTGTTTGTAGGATTCTAGGAATTAGGAATAAGATAAGGGGAAACTGACCATCCCATTTCAGACTTTTCAACAATGCTACCTAGTTCTTTTTCCAGATAACAGTCCTCTTTACCCTTCAATCAAAATTAATATTCCCTATCCAGACTTGAGGTGGTCTTCTTCTTACAGTACATCTATTCTCACAAAGCAATGTTAAAATACCAAGCTGTCTGCCACAACAGTAATTCAGTGGGTTTGCGCCTAATATATTCATGAAGGGCTTTGATGGATTTGATAACCATAAGCAGCTGTTAACATTAAACTGCCATTTAATTTTTTTCAGTGACTTTCAAACTTGTCAATATTAAACAGTAGTGTTTTACAAATGACTACTTTAAGACCAATAAGAGTAAAATAAATAAAACTTAAAAGGCTCAACCAAATTCTTTCTTTTTTCTATGGTGTCCCACCACTAAGCAAAGAAAAGGGAAACATGTTTACAAGACTTGGAGCACTGCCTTGAATATTTGCCTATAATTTGCATGATATGGTACTATACCCAGAAATGTTTCTATTTCTTCCCTTTTTCAGCCCCACCCCCATTTAATTTTTATCCTTGTTTATATATCTCAGCTCTAGTAGGGAAAAAAGAAAAAAAAAAAAGAAAAAAAAAAACCCTAACCTGGAAAACTACTGGTTAGGTCCACTTAAGTATAAACAACCTTAACTGGTGACCAAAAAATTAAATATATTTGTCCTCTTTCTCCTACGAGCGGCTGAGACAGGTGGGCTGTTTAATTTATTGAGTCTTCTGATCGGTACTGGGCTAGATGGGCCAGACACCCCCTGGAGCCCTCCTGAGGTCCCTCCCCAGCCCTGATCGTGCTGGATGGTGGGGTCCCTCGGCCTGGCCTGCACCCTCTTGCAATCTGGGGCCCTTCAGGGAGGTCGAAGAGCCAGTTTTGGTCCAATTCCCAAAGCTGACATATAACATTGTATAGCTTTAAAGTGCACAATGTTATGACTTGATATGTAATGCAAAGTGTTCACCACAATAATGTTAGTTAACACATGGGGGTGGGGGGGTGCTTTTTAATTATCCAGGAACACCAGAAAAAAAGCAGTGGACCAAAATTAAGTCTTAGATTCGGTGCTGAAGCATCACTCTTCAAAATTTAAATAAGACCTCTAGCTCTTATTTGCAGTTATTTAAGTTTATTTGCTCAGCTGAGGAAATAAAGATGATCTATTATAGTTTATGTTTAAAAATATAAATACTACACTGAACCAATGGCATTTGCTCTTTGAAAATGGAAGTAGACATTTTCAAAAGCGATATAACAATAACATTTTTTTTTCAATATTGTTAATGTGGTCTGTTAATACTTGCTCATAGAATAGCTACAATTCAGCCAGGACCAAAGCAGGAGTCTGGACA